TACACTTCTTCACTTCTGCATATCAGTTGGGTGATAGGTTCCTACTTCGTTGGTTCGTTGCCTGCTAGCCTGCCTGCCAGTCAGGCAGCCAGTCAGGCAGCCAGTCAGCCACAGTTACTTCTTGCTTATTATTATTATTATTCTGGCAATCCATCTGAGCTTCAGTAATGAGCCAGTGTAGGTGGCAGTTGTTCATCAATGTGTGTAGTTTGTTGCAAATGCTTTTCGTAACGCACCGCCAAATCTCTCAACCATCACATAGAAGCACTGATTTACTTGACTTGACTGAATTAGTGTTGGAAATGTGGATATTGTTCACACTCTATGCTGAGTGGAGTGAAGTAGATCTCCACACTGGTTTCAGATTACTGAGTGCCTATCTTGCTGGCTTTCCGATCCTGACTGCTTTGACGTCATCGTCTGTGCCGCCTGTAATTCAGGCAGCGCTGCCTAGATAGGTGAAAGAGGCTACTTCATTCAAGTTTCTCCTGTTCATGGTGATTGGTACTTGTCGTTGTTGTTGGTGGTGTGGTGTTGGTGTTGGTGTTGGTTGGGTATCTTCATCACCTCCCTCCTCTCTACCTTCACCTGAAGGAAGTCCCATCTTCGCTGCTCTGCTCTGCTCTGTCCTGCCTCGCCTCGCCTCCCCTCACCTCACTCCTCACACTTGTCTCATGCATCATCCACTCCACTCGACCACAATCAGCAAGATCATCCGTGATAGTAGACAGCCTTGTCTCACTCCTCCCTGTCTTCAATTCAAAGTCATCACTCAGCTTCCCATTGTGAATTACTTGGTGTGTCGTGTCTTCATATAGTTAGTTGTTGAATGAGATTGATAAAGGTTTGTGGTATTTCGTAGTATTGAAGCAACTGCCAAATTACTTGTCGGTCGACGCTGTTGTAGGTCTTTCCGAAGTCGATGAAGTTGAGGTAGAGTTGAGTTGAGTTGAGTTGAGATGAGTTGATTTGACTGTCATTCTATACTCTGTTCTATGATGATGCGTAGCGTGGAGTAGTGTAGCGACGCAATTTGATGAGCACATGACTTGTACTTCGTGAAGCCAGCCTGTTCTGCTATTACAGATAGTCAGATGAAAATCTTCAAATCATAATCATATTTATTCTCTGTACAAATTCTAACAATAACAGATGAATGTGATATTTACTGGATTCCACTGTTAGCCATTATCCATCATTACTATAATAGATGAATATTTCACTTATTTTTCTGGTCTATTCACTCTACATCATTTCAGATTGGTTTAGACTAATTATTTCGAGATAGCTCTTATGATGAACCAATGTCAGTGAAAGAACCCGTTAAAGCGGTAAACACTGTGATAATATCTCTGTCTAGTTCGGAGCTCTAGACACACATCCACACACACACTCATGTTCATTATCGATCCCGAACCGAGCTATGGCTCATTAGTGTGGGGAGATGACTTTCACTGATTAAAGTCCCGTCCCACCTACCTAGGCTTTGCAGTGAGGTAGTATCATCAGCCCTCACACAATAAGTATGGCTAATTGTCTATTGCATGAATGTGCAACAAGTTATTGAGTGCATTAGATTTGATTCGATGCGGAATTGATAAGAGTTAGAAATATAGACTAACTCATTCTAACTTAATGGCCGACTGATAACTGGATGGTTCTCGAAACCTACAAATGTTCAACTTAGCCTCATATAAACTTGTCATTTAGCACAGCTAATAAGTTTTATGCTCAAATGAAAGGGTAACTTTCAGCTATTTGGTTTTACAGCTTCTATTGGTTTATGATAAAAACTATTTTGAAGTGAAACAAAACCTGTAGCTGACTGACAGTCATAACATACTTATGTAGAGAATCTGCTCAAGAATACCAATGAGTCGTTCAATAAGAACAATTCTCAAAAGATTCTGAGGGAGTTGTGGAGATTTGGAATTATTTCAAGTTGTTATTCATCGTAGACTGACATGAGTTGGAGGAACAAAGGAAACCTGGGAGCACTGGACAGCTGTTTCGTCCGACTTGTATGGGACTCTTCAGCAGTGCGCACCCACGACCCCACCCACCAATGATCGAACCCGCCACCTTCAGGTTCCGCGGCCAGCGCGTTACCATTGAGCTAGCCACTGGGTCACAATCCAATGCTACATATTCCCAACTTCTGTTAGCTCAGGATATAGCGCAACCGCCACCCAATGTCATCGCTGAGTATCTGTCCTCATGGCCATCAGGCTTTGACTCCATCGGTCACGACTTCTCATTGGAACTTCGGGAATACTTCTCGAAGCTAGTCACCAATTCTCATACGAACATGGAAATATTTATACTTCAAGGGACAAAAGATTGCAAAGGTATAACCCATTATGTTTTATTCATCAATAAGAAATGCATAGGTGCATTGGTTACAAGAATCACAATTATCATGGCATCTTTTTTTCAGAAGAAACAATTATACTGTATTTACTGATCTAACACAAGATCAAATTTGATAGTTATGACATAGAGCGATATCTTTTCGATCCATTCTCCCGAAAAATATAATTTTTTTCATTTCCTCATAACTTTACTTTCTACGATTTGTTGATATGCTTTTAGTTCTCCGTTGTCTTACTGAATCGAATTGTTCAACCTCCATTGGCATATGAGCTCATATGTGGATGCCTCAATATTTTCCGAATATTAATTATAATAATTTACTTGATTGTGGCTAGCAGAGGAATCCAGGACGAGTGTTTCATCTTATATTTGGGACTCATCATATGGAGTGATGGGAGAGAGGTTCGAGTCTCAGTCGAAACAACATCACTCCTCACTGGGAAGCAGGTACATCCAGCTGGCCAATGAGTCCCAAGTAAGACGACACATGCATCCTGGATTCCTATGCTAACCACAATCAAGTAAATTATCATAATTAATATTCAGGCAGTGTCGAGGCATTCACATAGGGGGCCATATGCCAATCTAACAATTCAATCCAGTATAACAACGGAGAATTACAAGTATATCAATAAATAGTAATAACTGATACCCTTTGTATAAGAGGTGACTCTCGTGCCCCATTGACCTAGTGGGTGACGCTTCGGCTTTTGAGATGAACAGTACTGGGTTCAACTGTGGGTAGGAACAACATTACTTCTTAGAGTACAGATACATGCTGCTGATGAGCCCTAACCAGCTACCACCATGCCAATCTTTACTATTCTTATGTTCATCAAGATATCCATCTGAAATTCCGAAATAACTGAAATCGCATCATGAATCCCATTATCAAATGATAATGTGCTAAGAATGATTGATAACTCATAATTGTAAGAAATCTGTCCATTTACGCACCTACTGGTTTATCTTAATAACACTTCCTACACAACTTTACTTGATCCTAAAGTAAATAGTGAAATTTGGGCGTTTTAAATTCAAATAAGATCAGTCAAAGTTATTAACTATCAAGATAGAACAATATGGTTATTCAAAGGCAAGTAGAATCAAGGGAAACGCATATCCTGCATTCCACTTCACCATAAAATCAAGACATAAACAATACAAAATAATTTTTTTTAATACAGAAAAGGTTTAGTCCATCCAATATTCAAGATCGTTTCATATCATTGTCTGACTTTCCAATGGTATATACTTGTTGAACTAAATCATTGCTCAGGAACAATTACCCCCTATACTTTTAGTATAATAGTTAGGTACAGAAAGTAGAAGGCGTTCACTAACCTGAAACCAGTGTGGAGATCTGCTTCACTCCACTCAGCATAAAGCGTGAACAATATCCACATTTCCAACACTAATTCAGTCAAGTCAAGTAAATCAGTGCTTCTATGTGATGGTTGAGAGATTTGGCGGCGCGTTACGAAGAGCATTTGTAACAAACCACACACATTGATGAACAACTGCCACCTACACTGGCTCATTACTGAAATTCAGATGGATTGCCAGAATAATAATAAGAAGAATAAGCAAGAAGGAACTGTGGCTGACTGGCTGGCTGACTGACTGGCAGGCAGGCAGGCTAGCAGGCAACGAACCAACGAAGTAGGAACCTATCACCCAACTAATATGCAGAAGTGAAGAAGTGTATATGGATTGGGCATTCAGTGAGAAGGCCGATTGGGGACATCATGTACTAGGTCAGGCCAGTTGCTGGAGTAGAAGCCAGATGGGAGACGACGAGTTGGGTGTCCGAGATGAGGTGAGGTGAGGTGAGGTGAGGTGAGGCGAGGTGAGGTGAGGTGAGGTGAGGTGAGGCGAGGTGAGGTGAGGGTGAGATGGAGGAGATGGAGGGAGGTTTGTAAAGATCTAGTGATTTTTCAAGTTCATATTCATCATGGATTGACATCAGATGGAGAAACATTGGAAACCTGGCAGCACTAGACTACTGTTTTGTCCTCACCACTGCGCACTCATCACTCCAACCCATTGCACCAGGGATCCAACCCCGAGACATTCAGATTCCACAGCCAACACATTACCAGCGAGCCGTTGGGTCGGAATCCAATGGTTGAACTTCTGTCAGTCCATGAAAGAACACAACCATCACTTAATGTTATCGTTGAGTATTTATTTATCCTCACAACAACCAAGGTTATTGGAACCTTGTTGTGATATTGTTACCTGTTGTCCTTGATTTTTCATGCATAAAACTGCCGTTACCAGTTCACCTATTGATCACTATGATGTTTTCTAAATCTACCTGATACTTTTTATCAGAAAGTTTAAAATACTTAACAAGTTTATTTTTTGTACCGATTTCCCGTCTCATATATTAAAGGAACTTAGTAGATGATCAACATGAATGACACATTCTAGAGAACAATGAAAATCATTTCTTCCACTTTCGTTATATACTATCATAGGCATAGTTACCAGTTTCTAGGAGAGAATAGAAAAACCTGTTAACTTTATGCTTATTGTCGCCTAGAAATTGTAAAAAATCAAAAATAATCTTAGTTTCCAATCCCTTATTATTTATATGCGTATTTATTTACTTACTTTTGCAGCTTTCTAAGGCAGATGCAGTTAATTTGCCTATCCCAAAACCTGTAAGTGATTATTGATAAATCTCTTTGTAATCAATATTTCCTTTCATTTTCACTAAGTGACAATGGTTTGACAACAATACTTACTCTTAATGATGGATTGTGGCTAGCAGTGAAATCCAGGATGCGCGTTTCGTCTTATTTGGGACTCGTCAGCTAGATGTACCTGCTTCCCAGTGAATGACGTTGTTCCCACCTGGATTCGGACTCGGGAGCGATCTCTCCACTACACCACCGAGCCACGATAGCCATTTCTTGTGCGACGAGTATAGTTTTTAGTATAATCCAGCTGATGAGTCCCAAATAGAACGAAATACGCATCCTGGATTCCACTGCTAGCCACGATCTATCATTAACATAATTACAACACTGGTAATATCGAGGCATCCGCACAGGAGCCCATATGCTAATAGAGACTGATCAGTTCTGTCCAATCAACGACGATATCATATAATAAAAAAACAATTGTTACTATGACTACTGTGTTTTAACCGTTTTAAGAATGAATTACCTGGATGACTGTAAATCGAAACAGTGCAGTATGCATAAGGTAAAGAGATGCTAATCGATTAGATACCCCAAAGTTTCATATCTAATCCTCCAATGTTTCTTTAAAACTTAGGCTACATCAGTCAGTCAGTCAGTCAGTCATTTTTTCACCGACAGAGAGAACTTTTTAAATATCCTACTGTTTAATGAAATGATCATATGACATTTTTATTTTACATATTCCACTGATCAATTCGTGAAAATACTTGAAAATTGACGAAAATGTGTTTTGTGATAGTCGAATTGGACTAGACAATGTGTGAATTGAACATTTTATTCATATGATCGTCAACACAAGTGTATATGGACTGGTTGAAATGAAAACATTATCTCTCTTAAGACTAAAGGCATTAGAAGTCATCATTGTCCTCACTTATCCCCTTCTTTCTGTGTGTGTGTGTATATATACCACTCGGGCTCCTGATTGTTTATGAAGTAAATATCCAGCCAGACAAATGTGTTACCTTCTCTGAATAACAAGTTCCTGAGATAATTCAGCAGGTTATTGGACAGCGTTCTCAGCTTTCAAGACATGAATTATCTTGGGGAAGAAAGATATAAATCAAGTTGAATTCAAGTGAAAACTTTAAACTGAATTTTTAAAAAAGTGCATTTTCTGCTAACTATTATTGCAGAAATACAACAATGGTTGAGAAAATCATTAACTCACCTCTCCAAGGACTTCAATAAGCCTGGTAGGAATCACAATGTCCAACTGCTTAGTTCACTAACGAGAGACATTGTCATTAAGAAACAGACAAGAATATCGTACTTAGACAAAGTTATTACTGATATTATTTTTGATAGACGTAATACATACTTCACTCCTAGAATGTTATGCTCTAAAGGTTACGTTCTTAATAAATATGCATACCTGAAGAAAAGTCCGTTCGCCTATGCAAATCCCGTATATACTTTGGACTAGAATGTGAATAAGTTATATGCAGTGTATGCAGTGTCCTATATCATGAACAAGAAAAATTCGTTGCGATGGATATTTCGAAGTTTCAGTGAGAAACTGTGACCTGTGGGGTCAATCAGTCAGAAGTGAAGCGGATGCTATTTGAATAGTTGTGCTATATAGCGATTTGACAGAAGTAGAAAACTGTGGATCATTGAACTCTGACTAACTGACTGGATGGTTAACGCGTTTGCCATCAAACCTGACGGGGAGGAGTTATGGATGAGTACTGCTGAGGATCCCCATACTAGAATGAAACAACTGTCCAGTGTTCCTAGGCTTTAAGTGGTTCCCCAACTAATATCAGTCTATGATGAATGCAAATTTAAACCAGTAAAAACATAAGATCATATTTAAGGGCATACATGAAGAATCATTAATTCAAGCAGGTTTTGACAGTTTGTTAATCATACTCTCATACACATATATTCATGCAAGAATTAAAACGAAAACTAGCACTGAATCTCAAAGTACCGTCTACTTCACCACATAAAATAATGATGGAAACCCCTAGATAAACTAATTGAAGATTTACAATACAAACAATAACTTGAGATTAGAGCAACTTTTCAGTGGGATCAATTTCATAGTTGAATTTCGAACAAATCTTTACAATCCCATTTAGGGATTTATTGATAGACTTCAGACTGATATAATTTAGAGAACCTTTGGAAACCTGGAAGCATTGAACTGCTTTTTTGTCCTAGTATATGACTCCTCAGTTTGCGCACCCACAACCCCGCCAATTATGCAGTGCTTAAAGCTTTTCAGATGTTCTCCGATCGATGTCAGTTCCTGATGAATACCAATCTGAAGTCTTTACAATGATAAGACTAAGTAATCTGTTCCACTTTCAGTTTTAACTGAAACTAACTGATATGCCTCTCGACGGCAATTAAAAACTAGTCACCTTTGCTTACTTTCAGTTTAACATCTATTATTAGTATTATTATCAATATTATTATTATTTGTCCCTTGGGATGCTAGTGGAACATAAGGCCTCAGCAACACGTCACCATTCCTATTCAACAGTGGTTTAATTGATATTGTTGTTTTTATTGAACGATTAACTTACCGTATTTCTTTCGATATTCAGACGCCAGCTCCTGTCTTCGAACCACAATACTATCCAGTAATAAAAGGGAAAAAGGTGAGATTCATACTTTGATCATGTCAGGTGATGATGCTGATGATGATGATGATGACGATGATGATGGATATTGATTTAAATGATTAGTGTTTTTCGATTACATATGTAATTTCATTGGATTAAAGTAGCCTGCCTAAATATTCTACATAACCGTCAACAAATCATAACTGAAATCATTCTGTACTTCATAGGTTATTGACTCAATGATCCATATTCACTTTTCTACTCTGAATAATAAAAAAAACTATCCTCATGGATGACGTTTGTGTAACAGTCCAGTTATCATCTTTAGTATAATTGGGATTTTCAGTTTACTCGTTTACTTCTGACCTCAACTATAATGTTATGGAAACTGTTTATGTGATTGACCCGCCGGTGAAATCAACCTATATGCCTTTCAAAAGTTTCTATACAGTCATGCAAAGTGAATGACTCAGGTTACTCAAGTAAAGCTTAAAAGAGTAAAGGAAGTTTTAAGGTATTTTTATAATTTAGCTAAAGAATATCGAACTAACAACCACACAATTCAATAACCTGGTTTTCATCTCAAGCATCTTATATGTCAGCATTAATATGAACTATTTTTGGCTAACATGAATGTACTACTCACAAACTATGGTAAATACTCCATATGAAGCAACTTTAAAAACAACATAAAATTCGAAATGAAAGTTAACTTAAGAATTTCGCTTCATTATTCATAGGGTAAACATTTTATATTCACTGGATCATCTCAGTGTAACAGTGTTTGGATGCATCAGCTTAGATTTTATCTGAAGCATATGTATTCAAGTGATGTGCAACTGGATGAAAAGATATTTCAAATTTTAGATTGTTTTGGATCTTTGAAAAGATATTTCTTTCAAAACTCTTCAGGAATCTGCATTCATGACCTATTGATTGACCGAACCCATAGATATCAACTCTTATTGTGAACACTTAACCATTCAGTCATATAGTTCCCGTTTTCCTTACCAACTTGGTTACTCTTCATTACAAATTAGTAGATGTTGAATAAACGATCAAAACTACTAGGTTCCAACCAAGTAGTTGGATGGTAGCCTGCTTGCCACAAAACTTAACCGTCCTGGGCTCAGTTCCCCACGGGATAATGGGTAAACGCTGTTGAGGTGTCCTGAATTAGGAAAGAGGGATGTTTGCTGCCCTACAGGTTTTCAATGGTAATCGGGTGAAAAACTATATACATATAGACCAACCACTCTAGTAAAGACTGGAACAGCCAACTAGCTTTCTTTGTTTCTGCTGGGAAGGCGAATTTTCATAAAATATAAAAAATCAGCTGGTCATTTCATTTGTTGTTAAATTGGCGTTTAGGCTCACTCATATATCAGTGTGACTATCTGAAAGCCTCCATGTTGTAGATTTGTATTACTGATACGGGGTGATGATTGAAGTTAAAGTGAAAATCTGGGTTGTGATAGGTTTCGATCCTTCAGTCACCACCCATTTTCACTCATATATATTACATCCTTGTTTTTTAACTGATATCTAGCTGAGTGCATATATGCCTATTATAAACAGCGTGATCTTTATCCACCCAAATATGTTTACCACACTTTACCTGATCATGTGTGTGTATGTGTGCATAAGTGTTTTCTGTCTATCTGCCTCTAGATCCTGTGTATTATATTGTTTTACAACTTTCCGTAATGATCAAACAGCAAATGTGTTTACCATAATCGCGGTGTTAACTAATTCCAATAACATTGCTGCTTACTGATTATTTCGTCTTGCTTTGATTAGAATTTCATCAGATATGTTCGTCACTTACCTACGTTGATCTCTGTTGTGTATATGTGTGTGTGTGTGTGTCAAATTAGGAATCTGCAGACATTTTTTGACATCATCGTGTCAATATTAAAAACATGAGTTAATAATACCAAAATGTTACTCATTAGTAGTAGTAGTAGTATGTATGTATGTATGTATAAAACAGCATTTTATAAAATTATTTGCCTGACTTCCTTGAGCATAACTGGAGTAGTAATACGTTAACCATCTATGTCCAGTTTCATCAGCTTCATATGTGTACATAGTGGATACTCAGTCCTTCTATGACCTGTTTAGTAAATTGAATCTGATAACTACTACTGACTGCCTTGAATTTAAGAAATAGATCCTTGAAGCTCCTCTAATTAAAAATCTTCTTCACCTTAAATCACACCACTTGACTTGGATGTACGAAGTCCATTCTGCATATTTGTTGAGCGATAGGTTCCTACTTCGTTGGTTCGTCGCCAGCCAGCCAGAGTTCCTTCTTGCTTATTCTTCTTCTTATTATTATTATTATTCTGGCAATCCATCTGAGCATCAGTAACGAGTCAGTGTAGGTGGCAGTTGTTCATCAATGTGTGTAGTTTGTTACAAATGCTTTTCGTAACGCGCAGCCAAATCTCTCAACCATCACATAGAATCACTGACTTACTTGACTGACTGACATTAGTGTTGGAAATGTGGATATTGTTCACACTTTATGCTGAGTGGAGTGAAGTAGATCTCCACACTGGTTTCTTGATTACTTTTCAATAATGGGATCTATAACCCATTTTAACGTTAATGGTGATTTAATTATTTAAGGTAGTACTCATCACTGACTGACATCAGTTGGAAAGGATTGAAACCTGAGAGAACTGGACAGCGGTTTCACGTAGTATGTGACTCCTCAGAGGTATACATCTACGACCACGCTTATTAGCTTACCCGTTAGCTGTGAAACCTGAAGGTCTGAGTTCATATTCTGATGAAGTTATGGATGTGTACTGTTGAGGAGTGCTATACTAGGAAGAAACATCTTTTCATTGATCATGAATTTTCAATGATCTCCAACTGATGGCAGTTCTGATGAATGCTTGAATAATCACTCCTATGAACTAGGCAGTTGTAAGTTGTTTTCTAATTAATCGGTGGATCCAAGCGAAAGCAGTACAGTTGATCCACTACTTCTCAACTTCAATTACAACTCAGCAGCTTGTACAATATAGGTAGCGATTATGATGACTAAAAACTACGTAAAATCAACATACTACTTACTAATACAAAGTAGTCAAACAATATTGACCTATATCTTTCTAGGAAGTTATACCTTGACACAAAATTTTGATGAACCTTTTTGTTTGCTTACTAGTCTACTTCTGTTTCTCTGCTCATATATTCATTCTCATTTTGATAGCTTTACTTAGTTGCCCAAAATGAAGCATTACGTGGTGATTTAAAGCATGGTGATCGTATAACCGGTGCACATGCTGGATCAATATTTGCATGTCAACGTGCAGCAAATTTGAAAGGCTTAGGAAGAGCATTTTATCCATTATTGAGTACAGATATGTTCAATATGGATTATGTTGTACCACCAACATACAGATATGGGATTCCATTGGTCAACTTATATGTGAGTTAATTTTCAAAATATTTAATTGATTTATTATCCATTAGGGTAGTTCATTTCAGAATCCGTCTTAGATACTGTAGGAAGTGCTCAAATCGACAAGTGCATTGGGTAACATGAGAAATATTAATTCAGTTACTAATTACGCTCAAATAAGAATTCAAAAATCGACAGCAAAATGTTAAAAAATTTAGTAAAACTGCTGATGAGGGAAGTAAGTAGAGAAGCACAGTTAAAGTTTGTTAAACATGATGATTATATTGAAATGGTGGAGAATATTTGTAGCTCAGGTAGATGATCTTGGTTGTATTGTGTTCTCTAAGCTGTATTGTTTAGTCGTGGAGCTTTCATCGTCTTGCTAGACGATATCATCAGCACTAACTTCAGTGCAACCAATATGAGACAATTATCTGCTGACTATCTGAATCGCTGGTTGAATAGATATGCATATAGGCCTTGCGGACGAGCGCCAACAAGTACGAAATCTAGGTCCACCACGGCTTTCTGCCCATTATCTCCAATGCTGAGCCATATTACAAAAATGATCGATAGAATTCAGTTAGTACTCAGGACTAGACAACATGAAATTGGCTGGTGTCCAGTAACAAATCAATGAATCATACATTTCACCTCAAAAGAAATGATCATCTGAGTAAGTTTAGTAAATATGCTTGACTGCACAGATGCTCTCTGAATTTCGCTCTTTCTGTTAATCGATGGTACTAGAACCAGAAACTGTATGGAAACGGTCATCAAAAATGACCAGTTCCATGAACAAAGTATGTGCATATAGACAAGCACATAGAGAGAGAGAGAGAGTTACCTTAGAATTGCCTTAGTATGTAATTTCATGACACTGATAAACAGGAGTCAAGTAGAACCAACAATCCATTCACAAAAGAAACTGAAGATCGGATATTCCATAGATGTTCTGTTGTGGAAAATGCAATGCACAACCACAAAGTTAAGCTGAACTCACACAGTTTTATGGAACTACGTCCATGACAAGTCACTGATGAGTTAACATCATCATGTCACCTTGTGCTTACGAGCGGACAGATTGTATTCACGCTGTTATAAAGTGAATAGTAGTATTTAAAGTGATATAATCCTGCAAATCAACTGATTCGGTGTTTGATGGTAGGATGCTATCGTGATGACGCAACAGTCTATCGGCAACGTGTTTGACTTCACTAATCAATAACACAGAATACTGGTCACTGAAACAGACAGCAATAGTATGCTCAAGATTGTTGACGAGCCTTACCAGATGGGTAACCACTATGAAAAGGCTTAATTCAAGCTATCCTATCAATCATCTTGAACCATCCGATGGTTTGCACTCCCTACCACCCTACTAATTACTTTTTATAATTCCACTAAAAAGGTAGTTTCCTCATGTACTACTGAAGTTTAATCAGTAACTTCAGCAGTTGTCGAAGTGGACATTAAAGTTACTTCTTGCACTACATACAACCACTCAAACTCGGATAGTAAACTTTAAAAATACTTGAGTTAAGGCAGCACCGAGTTACTACAAGTAATTTACATCAACCATTTCATTTTCAAGTGCTTTTTTGTTGTCATCAATTCCTTCTGCAAATAAGAAGTAAAGGTTTATCTTCTGGTAGGTAAGTAGGTAGGCACTTCTCAAGATTAATATTTCAAGCGGAGAATTTTGAAATCTAGATGGAACATTCACTTGGAGATCATATAGTGAAGAAATATTTAGAATGAATTTTTCATATTGGATATTAAGTGTTTTATGAATTATGCGAATGAAACAATACTGTCTCTGCTTTCATCAGCCGATGATAAAATGCAATTTTCAAGAAAAATTATGTATATGTATTCTTATTTACAGTGTAGTTTGTAGTTTTATGGGGATTTTATTTTCAAGGTTGTATTCACCACTGACTAACACCATCTGGAAAACCATAGAGAACGGTAAGGGGGGGGCGGTGAACAAGTTATTCGTCCTAGTGTGTGACTCCTCAGCAGTCCATGATGAATACAACCTTAAAAACAATTTATACTGTGGATAAATTTGGTTTTAAAATGAACATTCATGAAAACTTCGACTCCACGTTTATCAAACTAAAAGTGCCCTTAAATGAATATATTTTTATTATTTTATTGTTTGTCCCTTGGGTTCCATACGGCCTCACTAGCACGTCTCCATTACACTCTCTGCTCTGCAATCTTTCCAACCTGGATCCACAACAGCCCACAACCTCTCATCTCCTCCTTACACCATCTCCTCCATCTCACCCTCACCTCGCCTGGCCTCGCCTCACCTCACCTCATCTCGGACACCCAACTTGTCGTCTCCCATCTGCATTCCACTCCAGCAACTGGACTGACCTGACCTGGTACATGATGTCCTCAATCGACCTTCTCACTGTATGCTCAATCCATATCCACTTCCTTCCAGAGCATATTTGTTCAGCGATAGCCTCCTGATTGGTTCATTCCCACAGTTCCTTATTGCTTATTCTTCTTCTTACTATTATCATTCTGGCAATCCATCTGAGCTTCAGTAATGAGCCAGTGTAGGTGGCAGTTGTTGATCAATGTGTGTAGTTTGTTACAAATGCTTTTCGTAACGCGCCGCCAAATCTCTCAACCATCACATAGAAGCACTGACTTACTTGACTTGACTGAATTAGTGTTGGGAATGTGGATATTGTTCACACTCTATGCTGAGTGGAGTGAAGTAGATCTCCATACTGGTTTCAGGCTAATGAACGTATAATTAGAGTTTTGTCCCAGCGATGCCTCTTCAGAACAATAAGTCACTTTAAAAGTTAGTGTTCTAACTATCCAGAAAGTCTGATCAATTTCGTTGTTTGTTGTTCATTTTCTCAAAATATAAATCCCTAAGTTGGTTTCTATGATCAGTTTTTTATTCTTCTTATTATTATTCACATATTTTATCCACTTTTTATAGGGTGAAGTTTTATTCGATGATTTTATGAGTCTTGTTGAAGGACGTTCAAGACCTCAAGCGAAATTACTGAATTTTGATGGAGTTGATATAACTGATGATATTGTGTAAGTTTACTAAGATAATTTCTCAACTATTATTCTGTGTACTTAAATGAATATTTTGCTTATTTAAGATAGAAAAATGTTTGTACCAAGCGTACTACTTACAAGTAATAAGTTTACTTACAACTAAACTTTTGTATTTACCACTTCTGACTTACTTGAAACAAAAAATTGATTGTATTCTTTCAACATATTGTGCTGTTTATATACTTGCTCAAAAATTGTCGTCAGTTGCATATCCTGACTTGAACCCCCTAATGAAATCTGATACTTATTTCATGAAATATGATTGTGAAAAGAGCAAGAGAAGGATAAAACTGATCTATTTTATATTAGTGGCAGCGTGCCAAGTGCTTACAACCAAGGTAGACAAAGGTTAACCGTAACTTCTGTTTGAAGACATAAAAACAGGTTCCAGGCATTTACCGCCTATGACTTCAATAAACTTAAATGGAAGTCAAGGCCAAAGAAACCTCAAACCTGATCTACGTGTTCAAAAAGTAGTTGTAGTTAACCTTTGTCTACCTTTATTGTTAACAGTTGGTACTTTACATTGTCTGAAATAGAATGGATCAATTTTGTTATGCTTCTACAGTTGTCGTTGGTTTTCTTTCGAATTCACAAAGGGGAATTCGTTTATGCAAGATATGATCATCCTAGATTAGTAATGTGTAACACAAGTCTTTCCCCTTCTAGTATCAGCTTAGTGAAACTGGGGAAATCAGTAGTTCATTTCTGAGCTAACTAGATACTGAGGCAAACTGTCACAGTAATACTCCCTCAATTTTAGTACCAGTATGCTGTGACCAATGCATGCATAGTTCACAGTTAGCACGTCTCATGTTTCCCAGCTTTTTCCTCGTAGTATATCATTAATAGTAAACCGATCAAGAGAGAGAGTCACAGTATCATGTAACAAGAATGAGTGCTCAGATATGACTTATCATGGTTTGCGTAAAAATAGACATTTGTTTCATCTCTAAGCTACCATTAGTATTATTATTACAACCACTACTACTGTTCACACTACTACTTCTACTACTACTTTCAGTAGTAACAATATTAACGACGATAATAATCGTAATACTACGATAACCATAACCTACTACTGTCATACACAGCTACTTAATCGATATACATTTACTCAGTATATGCAATAATACCTTTATTGTTATATCATATTGTACTTGTATTGATTTAGTGGCCTGCTGGATAAAGCTTTAACATTTGAGTCTTACTGGGAACGATATTTTTCACTGGGAGGCAGGCGTATTCAGCTGACGATTCCAAACTAGGAAGAGACGTGTGTCGTGTATTCCACTGCTAGTAACCACCAAGAAAATCATAACATAATGAATAAACAAACAATATCGAAGTAACCTCAGAGAAGCCGTATATGCCAGTAGAAACCGATCACTTCAGGTCAGTCAATAACAGGAACTTACAAGCAATCACATATTTCGTCTGCACTTTCACAGTGGAAATTTTATGAACGAATGTGTCTTACTGGAAAGATCAGCCGCACAGTATAACTTTAAGATTATGTATGAAATTGACTTGTTAAGGTTAATAAGGGACATCAGTTCTAACAAGGTTGTAGATACACCGCACTGATGATTGGCACAAGCACAGAACTAGGTCCTACAAAGCTTCCTGGAGAGTGTTGCCAACTAGCTAACATTCAACAAAGTACTATGTAAAGCTCGTTCTCTTAGTCTGGTGGTCACATTGCAGAATAATGAACAGAATCCAGTAGCCCTCCGGAACAGACATTCAATAGTTTATTCTCCAGTGTCTAATCAATGTCTTATTGTTTTTTTTTCAATATAGTTGGGGGATACAGCGGAGACGACTGTTTGTCCCAGTTACCATAAAATCTGGAGACACACAGGTGTTAATAACCGCCAATTAAAGTGATGCTGTGGATTTTCAAACGAGGAGATTACACTGGAAGTGATAATCATCATCGTAATAATAATAATAATATAGTGCGAGTAGTAGTAGTGTGAGTAGTAGTAGTAGCAGTGTGAGTAGTAGCAGTAGTAGTAGTAGTAGTGTGAGTAGTAGTAGTAGTAGTAGTAGTAGTAGTAGTAGTAGTAGTAGTAGTAGTAGTAGTAGTAGTAGTAGTAGTAATGGTGTAGAAATTGAAATCTGATGAATTGAAGCATATTGCCAATTACATAGAAGCAAAGAGAACATTTAAGATTGAATTGTATCTGACAGTTCTGTTCATCATCTACTTGTTGATACTGTTTCAATCAGAATGTATCATATTTAGGCTAAACTACGTTAGAGAAAACTGGAATGCTCCAAGAACTGCAGTTATTTCTCGTTACCTGTAGAATACTAACACCTTTTGTCTATCTTTATAATCATGTTTTCTATTTATCCATGACGCTTATAGAATAGCCTTTTTCATATCTTCAAAACATACTATCATCATTTACTTGGTGATGGTTAGCAGTGGAATCTAGGATGCACGTTTCATCCTAGTTAGAACTCATCATCCACAGTGAGGGATATCGCTTTCATTAAAACTTGAGTTCAGCACCCATCAGTCAATTAAGTTTAACAACAGAGAATTATAAGTAGCAATAAAAAAAATTAAAAACTATTATCCGCCATCACAATTCATCACTAGTAAACAAGCTCCAGATTTTTTTAAAACTAATCATCTACATTTTATTTTAGAGAGTTCGAATAAGGAGAAGATAAATAGTTCCTGAGGTTACGCGTATTATTTAATGATTAACTCGGTGCAAATCAATACTGACAATAACCTCATTATCATATCCTTTGTCTACTCAGCATTATACACCTATGATGTCTCTTCAATCATTTAATCACTCCAACCCTACTAACCGTCTTTTATATCACCTAGACATTCGTTATAAATATGTCCATCATTAAGTAAAATAGTTGTAAACTTCCAGAAAACTTCATAAAATTTCGACGACTAATGTCTAGTTCATAATTGAACTACTGAAGAGTTCCATATTCGGAGGAAACAACTGTCCAATACTCCCAGGTTTTCCATGTTTTCCTCCACTTGATGTAAATCTATGATGAATGTAACCTTATTTTAATAATGAGAATGTATGTATGTACGTATGTATGTATGTATGTATGTATGTATGTATGTATGTATGTATGTACGTATGTATGTATATGTATGTATGGTGTGGATGTATGTATGTATGTATGTGTGTGTGTGTATGTATGTATGTATGTTATGTGCTTCTGTATGCCTCAGAGACATGGCGCGTCACGAAAGGGATTTCCAATAAACTACAGACATTCATCAACAACTACTTACGCTAGCTCGCTACTGAAGATCAGATGGATTGCCAGAAAGAATAAGCAACAAGGAACTCTGGGAACGAACCAACCAAGAACCTATCACGCAACAAATATGCAGAAGGAAGTGGAGATGGATTGGGCATACACTGAGAAGGCCGACTGAGGACATCACCTGTCAGGCCGGGTCCTCGATTGGAATCCCCATAGGAAGCGGCGAGTTGGGCGAGGCGATCTGAGGGTGACATGGAGGATGTAGTGCGAGGAGGAAATGAGAGGTTGTGGGCTGTCGTGGAACCAGGTTCAAGAGATCTCAGAGAACAGAGGACACTGGAGACGTGCTACTGAAGCCCTATGTTCCACTAGGAACCCAAGGGACTTATAATAATAATAAATGTTATATTGAAATAACATTGACTAAGATTTTTGATTGACTTTAAAAACCCACCCTATCAACTACTGAGTTAGCCAATTGAGTTACTCTATTTCATACACAAATACCCTTCCATACGAAATATCAAAACCCGATTGGTTATTTCAGTAGTTGCTAGGATGAACTTTTTAACCTGAATAAATAAATTATTTATGAAGTGCTACTACCCCATAGCCTGACTCATCAAATAAAACAGAAGAAAACAATAGTTATTAGTTGCCGCCACACTTTACCCTAGCAACGTAGAAATAACCAATTAGGTTTCTTCATTTCGGCTTCAAAGACTGATTTTCATAAAATACAGTAATCTGATTGGTTAGTTCAGTTGTTGCTAAGGTGGCCTTCAAAGTCACTCTTAATTGCCTATAACAGATTTTAAGTAAGTATAATAATGACCTAACGGATAGTCACTAGAATGTTTGTTGCTAAGTCATTTTTCACTATTTCCTATTGAATATGTTAAAGTTCACATGTGAGAATGAATGGTCTTTAATTAATACTTCAGTTAATGAATTCCTTAATGGATTTTTATCATTATGGTAAATTAATAAACGATTGAGTTAGTGAATTAAGACAGTGACATTTAATCAACAGGTATCAAGGTTTTATCTTTGTCTAGCTAATTAATCAATATTTCAAGTTGTTACTCATCGTAGAATGACATCAGTTGGAGGAACAAAGCAAACCTGAGAGCATTGGACAGCTGTTTCATTCCACTAGCAAGCATGGGACTCCTCAGCAGTGCGCACCCACGATCTTCATGTTCCATGACCAGCACATCAACATTGAGCTAGCCACTAGGTCACAATCCAATCGTCCACATTTCCAACTTCTGTTAGCTCACGACACAGCACAACCGCCACCCACTCTCATCGTTGAGTAACTGTCCTCATGACTATCAGGCTTTTCCCCCACCGGTCACGGTCACGACTTCTCATTGGAACTTCGGGAATACCTCTCGAAGCTAGTCACCAATGAGCACCAGTTGAATTGAATTTTGAGGGAGTAACAACTTGAAATATTTCCAAATCCCAACAACCCCTCAAAATTCAATTAGTCAATAATTACATATAATAAACATTGATGAAATATCTAGATTTGTTGGTTTGTGGGAACTTATTTGTTGATTTCAGCTTGGTATTCATCATGAACCAACATCAGTTACAGGAAGATTGGAAACCTGGGGGCACTGGATAGTGGCGTCATGGATGTACACTGCTGAGGAGTCGCATACTAGGACGAAATAGCTGTCCAGTGCTCCCAAGTCTTCAAATGATGTCAGTTCATAATGAATACTAATTTGAATCACTAGGTAATTTCGTACTGATGAATTTTTGTCAGGTCCAGGTCATTAAGTAAGCGAAAGAAGAACGAAAAAAGATGGGGACTGACTCACCCGTCATGTTATCCACAGACAGATACCCCCATGTATAGGACTGCATACTAAAGCCAACGAAACATATAAAACTGTAAAAAGAATCAGGTGACACCTCTGGTTTCTCTACACAAATGATGCTTTATAGATATATGTAATAAAGTAACTCTTGGGCTTGATAATGTTTTGCAGGGGAAAATATCAAGGGTGTATATAGGTAAACGGCAACCTCGTCAGTGATCCAGGAAACAACACTTGTACAACCACAGGCACTTGGATTCAGTTTTAGTGTGCACATTTCACTGGGCCATGAATAAATATCAGGCTAGAATTTTGTTCTCCCCTCTCCTCCCCCCCCCCCCCAAAGTCCACAAGTATAACTGTACAAACTCATAAAATGGGTCATTTATAGGTAAAGTTTCAGATAACAAGAAAGTTGGGGTATTTTAAAGACTCCAGATAGTTAATCAGCGTTTAAACTCAGAAAACAATTGAGATCTTGGATCAGACTTTTCAACGTTGGGAAATTTATGAACCAGGAGCTCTGAATAGTTAAACTTGACACTCATTCAGGTCTATTTGAGTGTCCAGATAAAATTATACTGAAGAACTATAAGCTACTTATTTACTACCACTAGTAGTATATCAGTGTCATTCACTTTATTTTTATAGCCTGCTTGAAAAGGGAAACAGAAAATTATTATTTGTTACTTCTCTTTTTCTCTCCTTTCCAGAGCACCATGTTTATGGATTGGTCAAAAACCGATTTATTTAAATGGGGATTATGAATATGCAGCTCAGTCGAAATGTCGTAATTGGCAATCAACATACCCTGGTGAAAATGGTTTAGCTGTCTCTCTACCAATTATTGAGAATGCACCCGGATTATTTTCTAAACAAAATTTTAAATTAGTGTCATGTTCTAAATTTTGTCGATTATTGTGTATACAAATTATTCCATCAGATGCTTAACCAACAACAATAATCTATGGTTTACATCAACTCATATATGTAGCATGCATAGATGCACAACACACACACACACACATACATACAGTATTCGTTCATACATACATACCTTCATAAATCAATAAATGAACGAAATAATAAGATAATTGCTGAATTAAATACGCGTCTGTCAGTACCATCAGATCAGAATGCGTAAATTAAATTCAGCATTCAGGCTAATTCTGTTCATCAGTATTTTATTGAAAAGCACAAGTCAAGCAAGCCATTTAAGTTCATCTTCCGTTTGAAATGAGACTTTTTTAACTTTGCATTATTTCGTCTGTCTGTCTATCTATCTATCTTCCTCTTTGTCTGTCTACCTATCTATCGATCGTCATGGTGTGTGTATATCCAATATGAAATGTTCTGCGCACTCCATAACTAAATTTGAATTTTACTTACTGCTTAAATATCTACACACGTACACATATGAATAACATTATACTCTGTCACACGATATACTGCTTACATATTTGTCCCTATGCAGAAATCACAATTATTTCCATACATTTAACACCAACGTTTAGCTGTTTTACAATGTGTTTTAACCAGTTTTAGTAGTGACATTGAAGAAAAGAGTTGGCATAATTTTCATTGTAATAAGAGTTGCCTTGGTGAACTGGTGTTATTTCACATACTCACTGCCTTTGTGTGTGTGCAAATATTGTCAATACAGCACAAAGTATAATAATAATAATAATAATAATAATAATAATAGTTTAATGTATTTTCTATGTTATATAAACAAAGTTGTGATTTTGTTGTTTGACACTTGTAATCTCCTATCGCTATACTGGGTTGAATTGCTCGACTAGTGGCTTAGCGGATAATGTTCATGTTGCAGTAGAAACAACATTACTCTCTGAGATATGTCGAATCGATGAGTCATGAAGTAGACAAAACATGAATCTTGGATTCCTCTGCTGATTACGAAGTTGTGATTGATTATTCTATGAAATGATTTGGGAGAATGAATAAAGTATTTGCTTTGTTCGGGAGTAAAGTATGAAGAATAAATTAACTACACATTGGCTGAAATACCATCGGGGAGATAAGGGTGGAGGTGGAGACATTTCTGATTGTATATTTCGGCAACACTTTGATAATGCATGAATTTCTTCAAGACAATGAATTTACCTTGTCAATAATTGCCCAGAAGTACAGTGTGTTAGTTGGTTGGAAGCAATCGACAGGAAGCCCTGGACCCAGGTTTCGTGCTTTTTGGCACTCGTCAGCAACGTGTATCTACAACCCTGATGGAACTGATGTCCCGCCTGAGATTAGAACCCACGTCAACCAGTGTTGTAGTCAGCGACTTTATCACTGAGCTATTCGGGCCACGATTGACCTCCTGTATGACTGAATTACATGTATTGACTGGTCACTAGAGTGCAACCAATTTCATGTTGTCTAGTCCTGAGTATAGACCGAATTCTATCGATCATATTTGCAATGTGGCAACCAAGCTAGGAAGCCCAGCATCGCGGTGCACATTAGTAGATATTAGTTGGTTGAAGGCAATCGACAGGAAGCCCTGGACCTAGGTTTCATGGTTTTTGGTTGCACTCTAGTGACCAGTCAATACATGTAATTCAGTCATACAGGAGGTCAATCGTGGCCCGAATAGCTCAGTAATAAAGTCGCTGACTACAACACTGGGTGACGTGGGTTCCAATCTCAGGCGGGACATCAGTTCCATCAGGGTTGTAGATACACGTTGCTGACAAGTGCCAAAAAGCATGAAACCTGGGTCCAGGGCTTCCTGTCGATTGCCTCCAACCAACTAATATCTACTAATGTGCACCGCGATGCTGAGCTTTCTAGCTTGGTTGCCACATTGCAAATATGATCGATAGAATTCGGTCTATACTCAGGACTAGACAACATGAAATTGGTTGCACTCCCATGACCAATCAATACATAGAAGTACAGCGTCATTGACCAAACGAAGTTAGCATTTAGGACTTCATGATCAGAAATTAATTACTTGCTAGTATTCATCACTAACTAACATCATTTGAGGAACCATTGTAAACCTGGGAGCACTGGACAGTTGTTTCGGCCTAGTATGGGACTCCTCAGCAGTACGAACCTACGACCTCAGGACCCACTGGGTCGGTTATCAGTGATTCGTAGTTTCCAACTTCCGTCAATTCATGATATAGAGCAACTATCATTCAGAGTCTTCAGATGGCATCGACTTCCCTATTGACTGACTGACCCCACAGATCAAGGCTTCTCGTGAGAACTTCGTGATATCCACCTCGAAGCATATCACTAATGAGTACTATACAATAATGGATAATTGAGACGAGGGGGGATTTTGATTTTGATTTAGTATTCATCACGGACTGACATCAGTTGGGGAATCATTGAAAACCTTAGAGCCCTGGACAACTGTTTCGTCCTAGTATGTGACTACTCAGCCTTTGCTTAAGAAATTACTTAAGAGATTTAAAACTCAAAGTGAAAATAACACAACCATAGATTAGATAAACTGAACTTGGGCGAAACAGCTGTCCACTCCTCCAAAGTTTTCAGTTGACTCTGTACCTGATATCACTGCGTGATGGATACCATTGTAGAATCAATCGTTTTACACAAATCAGCAGTCGGATTAAATGTTGAAACTTCAAAAAATAATCTAGTAAACCCAAGTGACCATCCTAAGCAAGAAAGAAGATGTGAAAATGAACAATATACTACTGACTCATATTAACAGGCAAACATTGAACAAGAAAAATATAGTCGCAGTCAACCGCAATCCGAACAGCTCAGTGGTAACATTGGTGACCGCAGGTTTGGGTCCCAGGTGGCTCATCAGTTTCTTTGAGGTTGTACATGCGCCTTGCTATGTCAAGCACGGCTTCATGTAGATTACCTGGGATCAAGTAACAGACTGATTCTTGTCTTTATTCTCTGTACTACCTAGCATACTTTATAAAGCCTTATGTTCTACACGCTGAATGGTCATTCAAATTACCTCATTCATCGACTTATTTGAATAAACAAAGTTTTACGTTATCGTTAAATGATCAGTTGACGGAAGTAAGGCTAGGCGCTTGGAACGACAAGCATTTTGTTGTGACTCCATAACTTATTGACTTACAAACTTATTTAGAATCAAGCCAAATGTTTGCAAAATACACAGACCTTAGTGAGAAATTTCATCATAGTTTCCTATGGAAACTAAAATATTCAGATCAAAGAATATGGTCTACTCAAGTAGCTAACTGGAATTCGGGTGGTTTGAACACTGTGGACACGCCGTTAATGAACTCGACCCTAAATAAGTGAAACAGCTGTCTGGTGTTTAAATCCCCTTGATTTAACCAGCAAACACTACTAATTGGTGTGAATGGCTTAGAACCATTTCTACCAGTCAGTAGTATATTGCGTACAGACTAATTCAGATTTTATTTTGTCTAAGAAATAGTGCGCCTTGATCTAACCCCCTTTAAATGGTTTTACCGAACTCCGCAGAGGATTTTGAATGAGTTCTCAAAAGAAGCTGAGATCACAAGGTGTTCTGTTACTGATGCATTTCCGTTCCCCATTCGCTAGCCATGCTGGGTAGTGTTCACGTGCACATTTTACAAGCCGACGCATTGTAAGACCAATTAACTGTGCTGCATAAGAGCAGGTAAACTGGTACACATCCACTGATGTGGCTCAGTACGTTAACTTTTGTTTCACACACTAACCAAAATGATTCGAAGGTTGGTGGTGAAGTATCTTCTATTTAAGGCTTTTGACAATCCTTTTTTGAGCATGTCTGAAGCAATTTCATTTCAAGATTGAAAAAAAAGAGAATCCTTTTCAACACTAAATTTATTCATCCAGTTGGGTTCGTTCGTTTAAGTTCTTATCTATACATCTAAGCGGGGAAATCGTTTTCTACTAGAGTAAGTCGAAGATTTTGCAGTTCTTCATGAACTTTGTTCTCAATATATATTTTCTTGATCCTCGAGGAAAGTGAATCGATAAGATTTCTCTTTCTACTTGTCTAAGTAGAAAGAGCAAAGTTTGAAAATTAATAAATCGTCAGTTCCATGTAAGATTTCTATAAATCGATCTGCAAAGGGAATTGTCATCCTTTCTTTGGAGTTAAATACCAAGAAAATGGAATGTTCAGTTTGATTTTAAATTGACTAGACAGCTTTTTGACAACAACGACAAGCTGCAATCACCACGAACAGGAAAAACTTAAAGGAAGTAGCCTCTTTCACCTATCTAGGCTGGACAGCATCGTTCCAACTACAGGCGATGGCAGCACAGGCACAGACGATGACGTCATAGCACTCAGGATCGGAAAGCCAGCAACAAAGGTATTCATTAATCTGAAACCAGTGTGGAGATCTACTTCACTCCACTCAGCATAGAGTGTGAACAATATCCACATTTCCTACACTAATTCAGTCAAGTCAAGTAAGTCAGTGATTCTATGTGATGATTGAGAGATTTGGCGGTGCGTTACGAAAAGCATTTGTAACAAACTACACACATTGATGGACAACTGCCACCTACACTGGCTCATTACTGAAGCTCAGATGGATTGCCAGAATAAAAAGAATAAGCAAGAAGTAACTGTGGCTGGTTGGCTGCCTGACTGGCAGGCAGGCAGGCAGGCTAGCAGGCAACGAACCAACGAAGTAGGAACCTATTACTCAACAAATATGCAGAAGTGAAGAAGTGTATATGGATTAGGCATACAGTGAGAAAGTCGATTGGGGACATCATGTACCAGGTCAGGCCAGGTACTCAAGTGGAGCCCAGATGGGAAACGACGAGTTGGGCATCCGAGGTGAGGGTGAGATGGAGGAGATGGTGTGAGGAGGAGATGAGAGGTTGTAGGCTGTTGTGGATCCAGGTTGTAAAGATTGCAGAGCAGAGAGTGTAATGGAGACGTGCTAGTGAGGTCATATGTTCCATTAGGAACCCAAGGGACAAATAATAATATAATA